CCCCCCCCCCCCCCGCCCGGGAGAAGCAGAAACCAACATTCACAAAGATACAATATTATGTTTTCAAGGAGCTGAATTTAGACCCAGATTTTGAAGGTATTTAAGCCTTAGTGCACTCAGCGTTGCAACGCCTATATCATTTAGGAGCCTAAATCTCATTTTCAAAAGTGATCTAGGCACTTAGAGCCTTGGACTAGATCACTTTTGAAAATGAGATTTAGGCCCCTAAAATCACATAAGCATTGCAACACTGAGGGCACCAAGGCCTAAATACCTTTAAAATCTGGGCCTGAGGATAAGCAGGACTTCAAATTGCTGTAGTGCACACAACAGCTCTATTCTGTACTCCAATAAAAACAGTCACGACATGTCTACACTTGCCATTTAAAGCACAAAAAGTCCCTTTTTCCATGCAAAAACCGCGAGAGCATCTACACTTTCCAATGACTTTTTGCGGTGAAAGTTTCACCGCAAACAGAAAACCACTTCCACGAGATGCGTACAGTTCTTACCGGTGATACGCAAGTGAAGACACGTTCTTCCTGTTCACACAGCTTTTAGCGTCCTGAGGATATCCCACAGTGTCTAAGGTGACCACTCTGGCGAGCAGTTCTGCTGCCAGGTAAACAGACATCCGACCCTCCCCCTGTAAAGCCCCGGGAACTTTGAAACTCCCCTTCCTGTTTTCTTGGCAAGCGCTCACTTATCGGAGCAAACGATCCCCTGCTTAGAGCCATGCTGAGCCACTGGAGCTGATCAGTGTTTGGGGAGAGGAGGCTGTGCAGGGACCCAGGATGCCCCGCGATCACCCCCCTTTCCCACAAGGCCTAGCCTCAAAATGGAGAGAGCTGCACTGTGGGATAGTTCCCCTCAGTGCGCTGCTCTCATCGGCGATGGAAGTGCTGCAAATGTGAACACGATCTGATGCCTGTGGAAGTAAGTGAGAACACAAACCGGCACTTTTCTTTTACAGGTTCCCTATCACTGGTGAAACGGACAGCGCAAAAACTCTGCAAGTGTAGCCATAGCCTCAGTCAATAACAGGTAAGGTGAACAATCATTTCTGCACAACCAACATTCATCAAATGATTAAATCTACTTCACTCATTTGGTATAATGTCAGATTCATTATGGAAGAGCGAGGCTCTTCAGACCCTACCCTGAAAACAAACATCTCAAATTTTCTGTAGCTGGAGGACAAGCTAGCCTTGACAACTTCCTTCTAGCAACGTGACAGCGCAATTTGTGATCACACACAAGGATCAAAAATTATTTTCCAAAATCCATTTTCTACTGGCCCTTGTAGGTTTCTCCTTGCTTATACTGATCATAGGTACATTTTGCTGCAAAGATCATATAGGAAGTAATTTCTTTAGTATTTTGAAAGGCAGAAAAGAACCATGATTTTGAATGTCACTTGGCTGCAGGTAAAGAACATTATTGCTTCTGAGAGTGGAAATTAAAGCAATTTATAAAATGCCAAGCAGCATTTACTGTCTTTACAAAGTGGAAATATTGACCTCTATACAAATGTCTAATTTGGGAAGCTCACTATTTTATGGATCTGGATTTTCTGATCAGATGTAATGATCAAAATGATGGTTGCTTTAGTCAGTCTTAAATTAAGCAAACACTTACCTAAACTTGTAGGTTTAATGAGAACATCAAGCACATCATAAAATGGGAGGCTTTTTAGCTGAACATCAGGATGGACAGGTGGAATTGGAGGTGATGGTTGCTGCATCTCAAAGTGAGGCTTAGTGTCTTGAAGCAGCACAGAACCAACAGGCGACGAAGGGGATTGAGGGGTGACTGAAGTAGAAGGTAGTGGGTGGATTCCAGCAACAGCCAAGTCAGGTTCCACAGGAGAGGAGCTACTATCCAAATTGAAAACTGAAGGTTTTATAGGTGACAAGTCAGACAGACTTTCAATAGTCCTTGGGTACCGACGCCTATAAAGCTCTCGGATTTTAATTTGAACTGCTGGGCTGCAGCCACTCTTCAATAAATGCAGTGCCCTCATCAGGAGGTCATGTTTGCGCCCACTTTTATTACGTCCAGCAAAGCCCAACAACACTTGTAGTTCAGAAACTCGAAAACTTGATACCATATTCTAAAGGGAGAAAAAAAGTTAAGGTCAGCACAGTACTCCCAATATGTATAGCATATAAAATTCATTTCTGAAAGTAAATAGATTTTTATAGCTCAGGTTTAATATTTATTCTTTAAAAACCGGTAGTGCCTCTCCCTAAGTATAGCTTTGCCCCTTGCGCATTTTCAAAATTTGAGTATCATGTTGCCTATTCAACTAGACTAGTGTTTCCTAAAAAGTGGGATCACTTCCTCAGGCAGGATCAAAAGGAGGTGCAGTTCGTTTCATTCTCCTGAAGAAGGGCTCAACTTTCCAGAGTTAGGGAAACAGTGAACTAGACAGATAACTAATTTTGCAAAATTTCATATGAATTATGAATTATCATTCAACTTTACTTTGGAAAAAATCAGTAAAATAAAATTTTAAAAAGGATTAGCAACTCATTTAAAAGGTAGTTTTGATGACTTTTTTTTTTTTTTTTAGTACCCATCATAGTGCATCTAGGTTCCAAAAAATAGTTATTACATGGCATTTTATAATTAACGCATTAACTTTCGGAACGGTCTGATTTTATGCTTGAGAAAATTAAAAGGATACTGCCAACTTAAAACTTCACACCTACCTGACCTTTCCCCCCTATTATCACAAGTAACACCTACAAAAATAAAACCTTTCTTCAGACTGTTTACTTTGTGAATTTGAGAGTCCTCTGTGTTTAGACTGTTTACTATTTCTCCTACATATTCTGCTAGTCGGGGTCTATTCCACAGAGAAGATAATTTTTAAAGAGAGAAGGAAACATGACTGGAAAAATGTTTATGCAAAACCACAAGATTGGCGGGGGGGGGGGGGGGAAAT